CTAAGTTGTTATAAAAACATCAAAATGTTTGGAAACAAGTCTGCTTCCTACTATTAACATATAACAGGCACAGAATTCCAATCAATATCTGATTCGAGAAACTTTAAACCAATATCAAATACATAAATCGGTATCTTGGACATTCATTGTCCAACTTGGCATATAAACATATTTTCACTACAATTAAAAGCAACATAAGCAAACTCATTTTCAAATCATATGTCATGTTTATTTTCAACCTAACTCTGATTTAAACAAAACAATAAGAATAAAGTATCAATATCTTTTAACAGGCACTGAATTCCAATCTACATATAAACGCAGAATACTCAAACCTATACTCTCAAATCATGTGTGTACATAATTATATGATGGTATCTTGGACATTTACTGACATACTTTGTCAAAAGTTACTCTTTAGTAAAAATTAACATGATGAGGCCTCTGTCATTAGTGTTTTTTTTTCAACAAATAGCCAATGATTTAACTAAAGATGGTCCCTTCGGACACATTCATGCTGATTACAAATTCACATATTGGAAAAAAAAACCATCTCAAATTTCCATTACCTCTCTGTCATCATGACTTTGATGACAATCCATCAAGGATATGTCACGACCTTTATCATTAGCAATCTCATTTTCAAATCTATTGTCATGCTCATTTTCAGCAGTACTCATGGTTCCATCAGTCGAGAGAGTCTGATTAAAAAATTTAAAACAAGTTTCTATATTTTAAAACAGGCACTAAATTCCAATCTACATATTTCAAAAAGTCTAAAACTTATATTCTTAAATCATGCATATATATGTAATGGTATCTTGGACATTTACTGACCTACTGTTCCAATATATACACTTTAAGTAAAAAATTAACATGAAGACGCATAAGTTGTCAAAGAGCTTTATCAACAAATAGTCCATCATTTAAGTAAAGTTGGTCCCTTAGAACACATACAAGCTGATAAATTATGAAATGGAAAAAAAACCACAAATTTCCATTACCTTTTTGTCATCATGACTTTGGTGACAAACTATCACCGACAAGTCACTGTCTCCATTTTCAAGTCTCATGTACTGTTCATTTTCAACATGAGTCACAGTTTCATCATTTGACGTGATCTGAATACAAAAAATCTCAATGCAAATAAAAATAGCAGTAAAAGCAGAAAAAAAATGGAAATTGTTGGTTTTAAGCCAGTCATAAGTGAATACTAAACCTATGCGATATGCTTAATCAGAAAAAGTTGAACCAATAATTTCAATTATACTATTATATTTGAGGAAACACATCTGCCTAGTATTGATATCATACATGTACAACAGGAACTGAATTCAGTCTTACATATAAATCCTGAATTCCCAAACCAAAACTCTCATATCATGCATATATATATATATATATAATGGTATCTTGGATATTTACTGACATACTTTGCCAATAGTTACACTTAAGTAAAAATTAACATGACGAAGCCTCTGTCCATTATTGAGTTTTTGTTTCAACAAATAGTCCATGATTTAACATAAGTTGGCCCCTTTGAACACATTCAAGCTGATTACAAAGTCACATATTGGAAAAAAAAACATCTCAAATTTCCATTACCTCTCTATCATCATGACTTTGATGACAATCCATCAAGGATATGTCACGACCTTTATCATTAGCAATCTCATTTTCAAATCTATTGTCATGCTCATTTTCAGCAGTACTCATGGTTCCATCAGTCGAGAGAGTCTGATTAAAAAATTTAAAACAAGTTTCAATATTATAGAACAGGCTCTAAATTCCAATCTACATATTTCAAAAAGTCTAAAACTTATATTCTTAAATCATGCATATATATGTAATGGTATCTTGGACATTTACTGACCTACTGTTCCAATATATACACTTTAAGTAAAAAATTAACATGAAGACGCATAAGTTCTCAAAGAGCTTTATCAACAAATAGTCCATCATTTAACTAAAGTTCGTCCTTTAGAACACATACAAGCTGATAACAAATTATGAAATGGAAAAAAAACCTCAAATTTCCATTACCTTTTTGTCATCATGACTTTTGTGACAATCTATCATGGACAAGTCACAGCCGCAATCATTTGCAATCTCATTCTCAAATCTTATGTCCTGCTCATTTTCAAAATGAGTCACAGTTTCTTTATTTGACATGGTCTGAATACAAAAATGACAATACAAATCAAACAGCTATAAAAGTGAAACAGATTGGAAATTATTTGGATAAAACCAGCCAAAAGAGAATTCTGAACCAATGCAGTATGCGTACGCAGGATAAGTTGAACACTTAAGTTGTTATAAAAACATCAAAATGTTTGGAAACAAGTCTGCTTCCTACTATTAACATATAACAGGCACAGAATTCCAATCAATATCTGATTCAAAAAACTTTAAACCAATATCCTCGTATCAAATACATAATTCGGTATCTTGGACATTCATTGTCCAACTTGGCATATAAACATATTTTCACTACAATTAAAAGCAACATAAGCAAACTCATTTTCAAATCATATGTCATGTTTATTTTCAACCTAACTCTGATTTAAACAAAACAATAAGAATAAAGTATCAATATCTTTTAACAGGCACTGAATTCCAATCTACATATAAACGCAGAATACTCAAACCTATACTCTCAAATCATGTGTGTACATAATTATATGATGGTATCTTGGACATTTACTGACATACTTTGTCAAAAGTTACTCTTTAGTAAAAATTAACATGATGAGGCCTCTGTCATTAGTGTTTTTTTTTTCAACAAATAGCCAATGATTTAACTAAAGATGGTCCCTTCGGACACATTCATGCTGATTACAAATTCACATATTGGAAAAAAAAACATCTCAAATTTCCATTACCTCTCTGTCATCATGACTTTGATGACAATCCATCAAGGATATGTCACGACCTTTATCATTAGCAATCTCATTTTCAAATCTATTGTCATGCTCATTTTCAGCAGTACTCATGGTTCCATCAGTCGAGAGAGTCTGATTAAAAAATTTAAAACAAGTTTCAATATTATAGAACAGGCTCTAAATTCCAATCTACATATTTCAAAAAGTCTAAAACTTATATTCTTAAATCATGCATATATATGTAATGTTATCTTGGACATTTACTGACCTACTGTTCCAATATATACATCTTAAGTAAAAAATTAACATTAAGACGCAATAAGTTGTCAAAGAGCTTTATCGACAAATAGTCCATCAGCATTACTCATGGTTTCATCAGTTGAGAGAGTCTGATTAAAAAATTCAAAACAAGTTTCTATATTTTAAAACAGGCACTAAATTCCAATCTACATATTTCAAAAAGTCTAAAACTTATATTCTTAAATCATGCATATATATGTAATGGTATCTTGGACATTTACTGACCTACTATTCCAATATATACACCTTAAGTAAAAAATTAACATGAAGACGCGCAAGTTGTCAAAGAGCTTTATTGACAAATAGTACATCAGCATTACTCATGGTTTCATCAGTTGAGAGAGTCTGATTAAAAAATTTCAAAACAAGTTTCTATATTATAGAACAGGCCCTAGATTCCAATCTACATATTTCAAAAACTTATATTCTTAAATCATGCATATATATGTAATGGTATCTTGGACATTTACTGACCTACTGTTCCAATATATACACTTTAAGTAAAAAATTAACATGAAGACGCATAAGTTCTCAAAGAGCTTTATCAACAAATAGTCCATCATTTAACTAAAGTTCGTCCTTTAGAACACATACAAGCTGATAACAAATTATGAAATGGAAAAAAAACCTCAAATTTCCATTACCTTTTTGTCATCATGACTTTTGTGACAATCTATCATGGACAAGTCACAGCCGCAATCATTTGCAATCTCATTCTCAAATCTTATGTCCTGCTCATTTTAAAAAAAATGGGGTCACATTTTCCCTATTTGACCATGGTCTGAATAAAAAAAAGGGACAATACAAATAAAAACAGCTATAAAAGTGAACAGTTTTAAAAATTTATTTGGAAAAAACAACCAAAAAAAAGAATTTTTAAACCCAAAATGCATAGCTACGCGGGATAAGTTAAACCCACTAATTGTTTTTAAAAACAAAAAAATTTGGAAAACAAGTCGCTTCCTACTTTTTAAATTTAAAAACGGGCCAAAAATTCCAATCAATATCTGATTCAAAAAATTTTTAAACCAATATCCTCGTATAAATACATAATTCGGTATTTTGGACTTTTCATGCCCCAATTTGGGCTATAAACATTTTTTCACTAAAAATTAAAAGAAAACAAAACAAAACCCCAATTTTCAAATAAAATTATGTCATGTTTATTTTCAACCAAATTTGTTTTAAAAAAACAAAACAATTAAAGGAAAAATTAAAGGTTATCAAAAAAAATTTTTAAAAAAGGCCCCTAAAAATTTTAAAAATCAAAAAATTTTTTAATAACGTTTAGGAAAAACCCCAAACCCGGTTTTAACTCCCCCAAATCTGTTTTTTGTCAATTAATTTTTTGGGGTTTTTTTACCTTTAACTGCTTTTTTTTTTCCAAAAATTTTTTTTTTCCTTTTTATTTAAAATTTTTTAAAAATTTGCTTTGAAAAAACCCGGTTTTTCCCCCAAAAAACTGCGGAGAATTTTAACTTTTGGAAAGGAAACAAGTGAATGGAAAAATTAATAAAAAGGATAATTAAAAAAAAACCGAAAAATAAAACCTTCCCCAAAAAGGGTCTTTTTGGGATGGTTTTTTTTATGTTTTAAAATTTAAAACTTTAGTTAATTCAAAATCCGGGGAAAAATGAGAAAAAATGACCCCAAATTTTCACTTACCCTTTAAAAACCTTAAAACCTTTTTGACTGCCCCATAAAACAAAAATTTTCACGTTTTTAATTTTAAGAACCTTTTTCCACCTTTTGAAGTTTTTTAAAAGGTTTTTTTTAGGGCCCTAAAAAGGAATTTTTTTAGTTTATCATCCAAAAAGCAAATTAAACCAACTTCGTTTTGGTTGACCTTGGGCCCTTTTGCCCTACGGGAAAACCAATTAAAAACAAAAAAAAGGGTAAAATTTTATAAAAACCATCAAATCCTAGGGAATTGGGGTGTTGAAAAAATTAAAAAAAGGAAACCAAATTAATAAAACCCGAAATGGAAAATTTTTTTAAACCAAAAAACGGTATTTTTGGCCCTTTGCCACCTTTAAAACCCTTTTAAGAAAAAAAACAATAAGGCAATTGTCAAAGACCAAAAATTTAATTCCTTATTGGAATTTTGGGGCTGAAAAAATTTAAAAAAGGAACCCCTATTAATTCTTTCCAAACAAAATTCCCAACGTTTAATTGGGATTTTGGGACCTTTAAACCCCTTACGGGCCCAAAAACAAAAAAAAAAAAAGGGGATAATTCTCTCAAAAAACCAAAAAATTCCATCCTTTAATTTAAGGCCCTTTAAAAAAAGGTCTTAAAAGGAAAAAAATTTAAAAATTTAAAATTCCTTTTTCCAAAAACGGAAATTACAACGGCCCAAGTTATTTGAACCTACCAAAATTTTACCCAAAAAAATTTAAACCATTCAGCTTCTAAAAAAAGAAAAATAAAAACCTAAAGTTTAAAAAGGCTTGGTTAGGTCCAAAAAAGGTTTAACTCTAGGTTTTTTAATCCGAAAAAAACAAAATTTTTAAAACAACGTTCCATTTTAAATTTTGGGCCTTGAACTACTAAACCCAAAAAACAAAAAATATCCCCTTTTAAAAATTAAGAATCATCAAATTTGGGAAAGCTTTGGAACTGTAGGTCAAAAGGAACTCTAGTTATCGTCCGGAAACGAAGAATGGACGGACGGACTGACGGACGGACGGACGGACAGGGCAAAAACAATATGTCTCCCCCCGAGGTGGGGGAGACATAATTAACATGATGAGGCCTCTGTCATTAGTGTTTTTTTTTCAACAAATAGCCAATGATTTAACTAAAGATGGTCCCTTCGGACACATTCATGCTGATTAACAAATTCACATATTGGAAAAAAAAACCATCTCAAATTTCCATTACCTCTCTGTCATCATGACTTTGATGACAATCCATCAAGGATATGTCACGACCTTTATCATTAGCAATCTCATTTTCAAATCTATTGTCATGCCCTTTTTCAGCAGTACTCATGGTTCCATCAGTCGAGAGAGTCTGATTAAAAAATTTAAAACAAGTTTCAATATTATAGAACAGGCTCTAAATTCCAATCTACATATTTCAAAAAGTCTAAAACTTATATTCTTAAATCATGCATATATATGTAATGTTATCTTGGACATTTACTGACCTACTGTTCCAATATATACATCTTAAGTAAAAAATTAACATTAAGACGCATAAGTTGTCAAAGAGCTTTATCGACAAATAGTCCATCAGCATTACTCATGGTTTCATCAGTTGAGAGAGTCTGATTAAAAAATTCAAAACAAGTTTCTATATTTTAAAACAGGCACTAAATTCCAATCTACATATTTCAAAAAGTCTAAAACTTATATTCTTAAATCATGCATATATATGTAATGGTATCTTGGACATTTACTGACCTACTATTCCAATATATACACCTTAAGTAAAAAATTAACATGAAGACGCGCAAGTTGTCAAAGAGCTTTATTGACAAATAGTACATCAGCATTAATCATGGTTTCATCAGTTGAGAGAGTCTGATTAAAAAATTTCAAAACAAGTTTCTATATTATAGAACAGGCCCTAGATTCCAATCTACATATTTCAAAAAGTCTAAAACTTATATTCTTAAATCATGCATATATATGTAATGGTATCTTGGACATTTACTGACCTACTGTTCCAATATATACACTTTAAGTAAAAAATTAACATGAAGACGCATAAGTTGTCAAAGAGCTTTATCAACAAATAGTCCATCATTTAAGTAAAGTTGGTCCCTTAGAACACATACAAGCTGATAAATTATGAAATGGAAAAAAAACCACAAATTTCCATTACCTTTTTGTCATCATGACTTTGGTGACAAACTATCACCGACAAGTCACTGTCTCCATTTTCAAGTCTTATGTACTGTTCATTTTCAACATGAGTCACAGTTTCATCATTTGACGTGGTCTGAATACAAAAAATCTCAATGCAAATAAAAATAGCAGTAAAAGCAAAAAAAGATTGGAAATTGTTGGTTTTAAGCCAGTCATAAGAGAATACTTAACCTATGTGATATGCTTATCAGAAAAAATGAACCAATAATTTCAATTATACTATTATATTTGAGGATACCATCTGCCTAGAATTGATATCATACAAGTACAACAGGCACTGAATTCCGTCTTACATATAAATCTTGAATTCCCAAACCAAAACTCCCATATCATGCATATATTTATATAATGGTATCTTGGACATTTACTGACATACTTTGCCAATAGTTACACTTTAGTAAAAATTAACATTACGAAGCCTCTGTCAATAGTGTTTTTTTCAACAAATAGTCCATGATTTAAAATAAGTTGGCCCCTTTGAACACATTCAAGCTGATTACAAATTCACATATTGGAAAAAAAACATCTCAAATTTCTATTACCTCTCTATCATCATGACCTTGATGACAATCAATCAAGGATATGTCACGACCTTTATCATTAGCAATCTCATTTTCAAATCTTATGTCCTGCTCATTTTCAGCATTACTCATGGTTTCATCAGTTGAGAGAGTCTGATTAAAAAATTTAAAACAAGTTTTTATATTATATAACAGGCACTAAATTCCAATCTACATATTTCAAAAAGTCTAAAACTTATATTCTTAAATCATGCATATATATGTAATGGTATCTTGGACATATACTGACCTATTGTTCCAATATATACATCTTAAGTAAAAAAATTAACATGAAAAGCATAAGTTGTCAAAGAGCTTTATCAACAAATAGTACATAACACATACAAGCTGATAACAAATTATGAAATGGAAAAAAAACTCAAATTTCCATTACCTTTTTGTCATTATAACTTTGGTGACAAACTATCACCGACAAGTCACAGTCTCCATTACTAACAACCTCATTTTCAAGTCTTATGTACTGTTCATTTTCAACATGAGTCACAGTTTTATCATTTGAAGTTGTCTGAATACAAAAAAATCACAATGCAAATAAAAATAACAGTAAAAGCAGAAAAAGATTGGAAATTGTTGGCTTTAAGCCAGTCATAAGAGTATACTAAACCTATGTGTTATGCTAATAAGAAAAAAAGTTGAACCAATAATTTTAATTATACTATTATACTTGAGGAAACACATGTGCCTAGTATTGATATCATACATGTACAACAGGCACTGAATTCGGTCATCAAATAAATCCTGCATTCCCAAACCAAAACTCTCATATCATGCATAATTATATATAAATAAAAAAATTATATATATATATAATGGTATCTTGGACATTTACTGACCTACTTTGTGAATAGTTACAAAAAAAATAGTTAGTAAAAAATAACATTACAAAACCTCCGTCCACAAAGAGCTTTCTCAACAAATAGCTCAAGTTTCAATTCAAGGTTTTCCCTCAGAATGAATATAAGACCATTTAAGACTTAGGTTAAGTAAAAAGCTCAAAAAATCATATTACCACTCTGTCATCATGACTTTGGTGACAATCAATCATGGACAAGTCACAGCCGCCATCATTAGCAATCTCATTTTCAAATCTTATGTCCTTCTCATTTTCAACATGACCCACAGTTTCATCATTAGACAGGGTCTGAATACAAAAAAATTATAATACAAATCAAACAGCCATAAAAGCAAAACAGATTGGAAATTATTTGGATAATGCCAGCCAATCCAAATAATTGGTAATTATTAGTCATTTGACAAGGTCTGAATACCAATAATAACAATACAAATCAAACAGCCAATAAGGCAAAACAGATTATACAGCCACCAGCTTAAATGACAATTTTACTGAGCAATTATTAACATCTGATCCCATTTGAGCAGTATAAATTCATAAACAGACAAATTTCTTTTCATAGTATTGAATTTCTAACAGGATAGGTTACACCAATGGAACCCATAAATTTTCTCTATTTCATTTCTTTCAATCTGTGGTTCATATTACAGTCTTACTCTCTCATACCTTTTGTTTCCCAATTCTAAAATGACGTTCGCCTACTTGAAATGTGTCTCCACAATGTAACTGCTTCTCCTTAACACCCGAAAAGTAAGTCAGAAAAACCTGGAAAAAATCGAAGTTTTGAGATAATTGAAATGTAATTCTCCTTAGTCCTTAGATGACTGTTAAACTATCTACTTCCAATAACTGCATAAAAATTACATGACAAATCAGTTCTTCATCAATTTGTATATTTTTTTAAGTAGCATGGCAGTAATTTAAGCATGTTTTCAAGCATGAGCAAGGTATATATGAAAGATCTAGCGAGTATGCAAAATGTGTATGCAACACGAGCAATGTATAATATTGCTAAAGTGGAAAACATCTGGTTACCTCGCCCATATAAACTTCTAACTGACAATGTACATCATCCACATCCTTCGAGGACACAATTATGTCACAGTTTCTGTCCCTTCAAAATATCATTACAAAGTCAGCATTTGTCAACAAGAACAATTAAAGCATAGCAGTGCATCATAAGCTCATCAAAGACGATGGTCGAAAAATTATACTTTACACAGAAGTGTTATCATATATTAATAATAAATTTGTATAATGACAGCCTATCTATTTGCAAACATCAGATAATCACTGATTAGTGGACTATTAGGTTTGAATCATACATCATAAATGAATTACTACTACTAGGCCATGCTACATAATTGTAACAAATTCTTAAAATGGCTTAAATAATTGCAGTTGCAGGTTACACAATAAATTAATTTCAATTAATTAATAATTAATTTGAGTTTAACCTCGTCTAATCACTCATTAATATAATGACAACTTGTCCACCTGACATGGTTTTCCTAGAAACTTTCTATAACCTAACTAATAATCCACCTTAACTCCTCCATTTATATCGGATTATTGTAGGAAAATATCATTCAGAGTGGCAGTAAAAATTAAAATTAATTAAGTCAAATTATACCTTCCAATTAGGCAGAACCTATTACACAGAGGGAAAAAAGAAGAATCTTGTCCATCTTTTGAGATGACAACAACAGTTGGAGTCACATTCATGAACTCTAAAAAATAATATCACAATTTTTAGCATCCTCTAATGAAACAAATGCATCAGTTTAAAGATTAATTTACACTAAGACAACACTAAGAATAATAACATTCAAAAAACAGGGCAATGATTGCCCTGAATGAATCGCTTACCTAACCAAGACAATACAAAATTAATTATTTAATCAGTGATTTTTTTACCCCTGCGTCCTAGACGCCAAAAAGCTGTTGTGGACGCAAAGTTTCAGAATATGTGCGTTCCATGGACGCACGCTATTTTCAAGTATCGAGTCTGTCCAATGTCGCATTTTCTGCACTGGGTTGAAATTAATCCCACACCGTACCATCAATTTTTACAACATTCATTTTTATTGGATAATCTATTTTTGTGAACCAATGGAATTTTACATAAGTAAACGGTGAAGGATAAATATCAGACTGTAAATATCATGTATATTCCCGTACATTAAAAATAATCATCTGCAAAATGGGTCCGAAACGGGAAAACGAAGAAGCGAAGCAAACTTTGTTTGGTATTTACAAAAAATTCAAGTTGTAATAAATCGTCTATGATAAAGCGCCAGTCCTAGTATGCCTTCAGTGTCTAATAACATACTTGTTCATAATTTGTTTGGACGAAATTCGGCCCCGTTCGCATGTTAAATAGCTAATTATTTTCTCCTCATAATCCCATATTGAAGTTTCAATTTATGAACAGGACAAATTAATATGGTTAGAATATGAAGTTCATCAGAAAAATGTTGAAAATATAATAAACTTATTAAGTTATTACTAAAAATCAACCAATTTGTAACGAAAAAAATGTTCAGATTTCGTACTCTAAATGATTCCATATTTGTACCTACATATTGGTATCCTGCTCAAAAGTGCTTGTTTCTTAATCAAACCTGTTTGGTGAAATGATTAATAGCTTTATTAGGGAAATAAAATGAATTATAGACGTGACAATACCAAATTTCATCTGAATCTAAAACTTTGTTTTGGTTAGGGAAACCTTTGGCTGGTAAATACTGTCAGGTAAATTCTCAATACCTTCACATGTATCTGTCCTTAGTGTGTGATAAATTGACAAAACGCTTAGCCATTTTCTTTTTAATGTTTAGTTCGAACTGTCCTGTCTGTACAGAATCAGGACAACAGCCAAGAATATGTTAGGCATTGATACCCATCACTGTCTCATGAATATAAATCTGGATAGTTACAGCAGGCAGACCTTCAACTTTGGAAAATGGCTAAAATCAGGAGAATTTATGAACTTAATTACAAGATCAAGTAACATTCATGAATATACAACATACATAAAATCCATGACAAAAATGTTTCTTCTACTTCGCTTTGTTATTTTTTATCAGCTGTAGTATTAGTAATTACATATAAACTTGGGCTCATACTTTCAGTCTGGGACTCATAGAGTTCAAGTCTAGCGAGTCCCGGGACTTGTACTTCATAAAAGGTAAAAAAATCACTGATTTAATATTCATTGGCATGGCTGTGTTAATAAACACAAGGGCCCTGAATTGCTAACCTGACTATTTGCCAAATTTATGATTTGTTTAAGTGAACATTCTAATTAATGTCATAATAAAGCATTATATCATAGAATGTTCATTAAATGATAGGGCCAAAATTATAACCTGAAATGGGTAAACAAAAATTTTCTATCATTTGACCTTTTGACCTACTTTTTGACCCAGGAAAACCAACTTCAAGCTTTGACTAGATTTGTGCCCTGTAATGAATTTACAAAGATTTACTACGATTTGACCTAGTGACCTACTATTTGACCCGAGAAGTACCAACATCAAGCTTGGTCTAGATTTGATTGAGATGGACATTATGCGAAAAATTAATCATGATAGGATCAAAATTTTACTAGAAATGTGTTTACAAGGATTTACTACGATTTGACCTAGTGACCTACTTTTTGATTGGAGAAGTACCAAAATTCAACTTGAACTAGATTTTGTTGATTAATATAAATGGACCAAGTTTGATTAAGATAAAACAATTTTTAAGGGCTCTAGAGCGATAAAAAGACAATTGTTGACCATGCACGACCACAACGGAGGACATGATAGACCAATCACTATACCTCACTTGACCACAAAGTGGTCATATGAGCTAAAAAAACAACCTTCAATGCAAATAATAGATGACCGGTTCAAAAGAAGACAGTATATATTTTCCAACTTACAAAAGGCAGGGTTTGACACTAACGCAGTCCCGCGATCCCGAGGACACCAAAAATAGCCAAGGGATTTCTAAACTTCTGAGTCGGGAGTTCCGTCGGGACTTTTGATTTTAAGAAGAAAAACATCAAAATAAGCGATATGTATCGATGTGCGACAAATTAGTTACTAAATCAACACACATTGATGACATTCGATAAATCGAAATTGGTTGTTGATAAAATGAGAAGCGTCAATTTAATCTACGTCATACCGTACCATAACTGTGTTTGATAATCAATATTTTCATCTGCATTTTTTTCAATTGATCCAAGTCAATTCATAAGTAATGTGGAAATTTTTAGATTGCATTACTAGTGAGAAAAACACCTAGACAAAGAAAACTCTTGGGCAACAGTTTGAGGTCCAAAAAAATAATGAAAAAAAAAAACAACAACAAAAAACACTAAACAGCAACTTTCTAACCAGAAAAAAATACTTTGCATATTTTCTTTAGAGTTGTCATGGAAAAAGCAATAAAAGTTAACAATTTCAACTCATTTACTAACTCCACTGCAGTCAAAATTGAAATTTTCCCTGACTTGCGTACAGTATCCTCGGCTGAAAAATTGGGACCTGTAGATCTATTTTTATAACAAAATCATCAGACAATTCAAGATAAAGGCTGAATGCAAACACAAAAGGTATTTTAAAGGTTACTTAAATTTGGACTCATGAATTTGGATTATGTGTTTTGATTATTTTTTGTAAACAATAAACAGAAAATCATGTATGCCTGCTCGTTTGTCACATGTTATCGGGACATCATTTTAACAAGGTATTCAACTATATTTCAGTAGATAAACATTATGAACCGCTGGTATTGTTTAATGGTTACTTGAACTTTCCATGGATTTATTTTTGCATGTCTTTTTGCCTAATTTTCTAAAGCATTACCAAATAGTAGTGCACACAATGATTTTGAAGTTAAAATTGTCTCATTTTTCTCAATGACATTGCACAAATTAAGTAATCTTAGTATTTTCCATGGTGACATCACTTCATTCTATTTTTTTATGTCAAAGAAATATTCCTTTTTTATAGATATATCTTTGTCGATTTTAATATTGAAACAATTTTACCTTGGATTTTCGAACATAATTAAAGGGACTTCCTGTTTAAGCAAGGGACTTCTGATTCCCACACGTCCTGTTGGGATTCCTGGCTGAAAAGTTAGTGTCGAACCCTGCAAAAGGCGTTGACTTGTATATCAACATTGAACAAGAGGGCCATGATGGCTCCATTACCGCTCACCTGAACAATATACATGTGTGGGTAGGGCCACTTTCTGACCCCAGGGTTATAATTTGAACCAACTTGGTAAAGGATCAAATCTATGCCTCATGAAAAATATAAAAACTCTAAGCCTAGAGATCATTTTTCTCAAATTTCCCTATACAAGAAAACCCAGAGGCCCTAGGTTCCTCACATGAGGCAAAAGAAAATATATCCATGATGAAACTAAAATTCTGAGACTGAAAGCTCCGACCCAAATTTCAGCATTAACACTTTCAGAGAAGAAGACACTAACATGAGATATTTCACGAACTTATGAAATGCCCCATATATTTGTGTGCACAAAGTAAAAAGATAAATATTTTAAAGCAGTCAAACTTGCATTCAAACAAACAACAACAGAAATCTTCAAAACAAAAGAACAAAAAAAAACTGCAGCTTAACAATTATTCAATACAACATCACTCCACATATATGCATCATTCCACATGTACGCCTCATTCCATATATACACATCATTCTACATATACTATATACACATACAGGAATCAAAGTTAATCTTTGTAGGTTATTTATTTTTAGAGCATAAATATAAGTGAATTATTTGTATTGCTCAACAATGCCTAAATGCCATGTTTCAGAATGTTTCAAAATTTCTGGAAGACATGCACCAAGTTAAAAGTCTAAGTGGTGCTAAAAACATGCAAATGATTCTGATTTGTACATGAAATTTTCTTATTTTCAATTCTTGCTGTATGTGAATTGTTTCAAGAATACGTAAACAAGCTCTTCACTTTGTTGATTTTCAATTAATGGATTATGCAACCACTTTCATCCCCAAGTGCTGCAGAATAATTAGCTTTAAACCAACAAATTGTCTGATTCTTTTTTAATCAAAGTCTTGGCCAAAAGAAAATAAAAACTTAACAAACAAGAAACTGTTAACATGATACCTGGTTCTTGAAACAAGTCTTTAAGTTCTGCATTTTTCTAATTAAAAGGAACAATATAACTACATTTCATTTTTTGCTTTACACTGCAGAATTGGTAAAAATGAGCATCACTGGATAATGAAATCGAGAGTGTAAGCCCCATCTTATTTTGATTTTTTGAAAGGACTTGGTCGCATTTTTTTCAAAACGGCTTAGTTTTAAATCTGGAGAAGTTTAAAGGACAAATATTTAGTAATGGGTTTCCTTCAGTCTGTTTTCGAGAACAAAAAACACATGATTAAGGGAAAATTACCTTGTAATGCTGCTAAGGTAGGCCCTCTATAAAAAGATTCCCAAAATTCAACTTATTTCATTCTTAGGATTTTTTTAATACATATATTTCCTGATTCCCCGTAATTCTGTGTTGAACCAGGGTCAACAATGCTTCCAACAACTTACCTGGACATTTGTATATGGTATGTTTGGGGGCATTTTTCTGGAACAAAGTTGAAATAAGTGACCAAGTATTTCAAGCCTTGTCTAAAATCATCAGTTGCTTTAATTTCTAACTTCTGTTACCATAATAATATTATATCAACTGTATTTGTATGGATCAAGAACATGGAACGTTTCATACAAACCAGAATTTTCGCCTCACTGAAAATGCAATACTAAAGCAACACTGATATTTGACCTACTTGTGATAACCACTAGGGGTGTGGATCGTCAAATAAGTGACGATCCGATCTGAACCACGATTCAGCGCTTACGATTCACAAATCAAACCACAAATCTTTTGTTATCAAGACACCCATAAAAACATATTTATTTACAAGAGGGCCATGATGGCCCTGAGGTCGCTCACCTGTATATAGGCCCCCCCCACAAACCCCCCAACGTTGCAGGGCCAATTTAACCCAAGGGCTTTTATTTGCACAAACTTGGTAGACACCCATAAGAAGATGTTTCATGCTAAACATCTAAGCTCTAGCTCATTGGGCTTTTTAAAAGACGATTTTTTTAAAGTTTTTACTATACACATATAGTTAAAAACAATGACACCCCTGGGGCCGGGCCAGTTTTGACCCCAGGGCTTTTATTTGAACAAACTTTGTAGACATTTACTAGAAGATGTTTCATGCTTAACATCTAAACTCTAACTATTTGGGTTTTTTTAAAGAAGATTTTAAGTTTTTGCTATACACATATAAAGAAAATCAATGACCCCCGGGGCGGGGCCAATTTTGACCCCAGGTCTTTTATTTAACAAACTTTGTAGACACTCACTAAAAGATGTTTCATGCTTAATATCTTAACTCTAGCTATTTGGGTTTTTTCAAAGAAGATTTTTTAAGTTTTTGCAATACACATATAAGGAAAATCAATGACCCCCGGGGCGGTGCCAATTTTGCCCCAGGGCTTTTATTTGAACAAACTAGGTAGACACTTATTAGAACATGTTTGGTGCTAAATATCTTAGCCATAGCTCTTTGAGTTCTTTAAAAGAAGATTTTTTAAGTTTTTACTGTTTGCATATAGGGAAAATCAATGACCCCCCGGGGCGGGGACAATTTTGACCCCAGGGCTTTTATTTGAACAAACTTGGTAGACACTTATTAGAACATGTTTCATGCTAAATATCTTAGCTCTAACTCTTTTGGTTCTTTAAAAGAAGATTTTTTAAGTTTTTACTATATGCATTATTATAGGGAAAATCAATGACCGCCTGGGACGGGGCCAATTTTGACCCCAGGGCTTTTATTTAAACAAACTTGGTAGACACCTATTAGAACATGTTTGATGCTCAATATCTTAGCCATAGCTCTTTGAGTTCTTTAAAAGAAGATTTTTTAAGTTTTTACAATATGCATATAGGGAAAATCAATGACCCCCCGGGGCGGGGCCAATTTTGACCCCAGGGCTTTTATTTGAACAAACTTGGTAGACATTTATAAGAAGATGTTTCATGCTAAATATCTTAGCTCTAGCTCTTTGGGTTCTTTAAAAGAATTTTTTTTAAGTTTTTGCAATACACATATAAGGAAAATCAATGACCCCCCGGGCGGTGCCAATTTTGACCCAAGGGCTTTTATTTGAACAAACTTGGTAGACACCTATTAGAACATGTTTGATGCTAAATATCTTAGCCATAGCTCTTTGAGTTCTTTAAAAGAAGATTTTTTAAGTTTTTACTATATGCATATAGGGAAAATCAATGACCCCCCGGGGCGGGGCCAATTTTGACCCCAGGGCTTTTATTTGAACAAACTTCGAAGACACTTATAAGAACATGTTTCATGCTAAATATCTTAGCTCTTACTCTTTTGGTTCTTTAAAAGAAGATTTTTTAAGTTTTTACTATATGCATATAGGGATAATCAATGAGCCCCTAAAGCGGGGCCAATTTTGACCCCAGGGCTTTTATTTGAACAAACTTGGTAGACACCTATTAGAACATGTTTGATGCTTAATATCTTAGCCATAGCTCGTAAAGTTCTTTAAAAGAAGATTTTTTAAGTTTTTACTATATAATTATATGCATATAGGGAAAATTAATGACCCCCTGGGGTGGGGCCAATTTTGACCCCAGGGCTTTTTTTTGATTAAACTTGGTAGACACCCATTTGAAAATGTTTCATGCTAAATATCTTAGCTCTAGCTCTTTGGGTTCTTTAAAAGAAGATTTTTTAAGTTTTTACTATATGCAGATAGGGAAAATCAATGATCCCCTGGGGCGGGGCCAATTTTGACCCCAGGTCTTTTATTTGAACAAACTTGTTAGACACCCATTAGAAGATGTTTCATGCTAAATATCTTAGCTCTAGCTCTTTGGGATCTTTAAAAGAAGATTTTTAAGTTTTTACTATATGCATATAGGGAAAATCAATGACCCCCCGGGGCGGGGCCAATTTTGACCCAAGGGCTTTTATTTGAACAAACTTGGTAGACACTCACAAGAAGATATTTCATGCCAAATATCTAAGCTCTAGCTCTTATGTTTTTTTAAAAGATATTTAAAGTTTTTTCTTTCGGTTGCCATGGCAACCAGAGTTCTGCATGGAATTAAATTCTTTGAAGAATTTTTAAAGGTGACCACCAAAGGAACATTCCTGTGAAGTTTGGATGAAATTGGCTTAGTGGTTTATGAGGAGATGTCATTTAAAGTAAAAGTTTTGTGACGGAGGACGGATGGACGGACGCCGGATGAAAAGCGATCACAAAAGCTCACCCTGTCACTTTGTGACAGGTGAGCTAATAAAAAAACAATACTAAACATTAAACATATAAAATATAAACTAGGATTATGTTTTTATTATGTGCATGAGTATTTTTTTGTTTTGATTTTTTTTAAACCAATTACTTCCTAGCTCAGCATCATGGTACATGGTCTTTAACCGGCAAATTGTATGTAGGTAAACTTCATATAATTTATACTCAAATTGTATTTTTATCGATTTTATGAGTGTGAGAAACAGTGAAGGTATATAAAAAAATTAGATCGCGATCCACAATCTCTGGGCTTACGAATATTCAAACTCGAATTTTCATTTTGATTCGTGATTATCAGAGTACTCGGATACTCGCACCAGCCCTAAAAACCACTACTTAAGATTGAAGATTTGTGGCTCTAGGATGAGGCACTGCCAAGTTATAGGTATTCATAAACCTTTTTCTCCTTTGTAAAATCCAGTTTAAAAGCATGCATGATTTCCTCTAGCTTATTCTTAATCCACAGGTCACTATAGCTGGGCTAGTGGTAAGTGAACTAAATCCCAAACAGATTTGAGACAACTTTGGAAATATGCTTTTCCCAAATAATACTGCAATGTCAAGAACAGAAGTCAGACTTGATTATATTTCTATACTCTAAAACCAAAGTATACAGTTAATCTAAAAAGATTAACTTATTTGGACTCAAATATGACAATATATATTTCTAAAAGCTAAACCAAATTCTTTTAAAGTTTAAGTACGCAGGAACAGATCCCTTTACTTTTTCGCCCACTTGGAATTGACAAACATTCAAGTAAGTGGCTTTTCACTGAAAAAGTTGACTTTTAAACAGACTTAACTTAATGATAGAAATACGAAAGAGCACCTTAAAATTAAAACAGCTATGTAACTAATGGTAGATGACAACTGACCAGATGATTGAACACTTATCAAAGTATTCTGCCAATAAACTCAAAATGTTGGACTCGATTGCCCATCAGCCACGAACAAGAGAACCATGATGGTCCTAAATTGCTCACCTGAAACATCAACTAGCATGCAATTAATATATTCACCTTTCTCCAGTGTGCTGATGAGTCTTTGTAATCAAAACAAAGTTCCTGTCCTCTGAATATAGGCCTGATGCTGTAGATTGACAGTGCAGGAACGCCATCTTTTTCCTCAACCACAACTTTGCAATTTGGTTTTTTATGGTTGTCATTAATCATGCGTCCCATTCCTGTAGCATGTGTTGCATCAATACTGTAAATAACATAACTAAGTGCAAGTTATGTATTTACATAAATTATGTTCTTAATAAACTACAAAGGGCACATGATGGCCCTACAAAATGAAATGTATATCAGGGTTTTCCTTGACCCCCAAATTTGTGCAGTTTGACACCCAAATATATAAACCCTTTCTGTTTTCCTATATTGTATGAGGTCTTTTAAACCCTCTTTTGTCAAGGAAAACCCCTACTACATATTGCTCACCTGAGAATACTTTTTTGCAAATTTCAAAATATCAAACTGGGGCCAGATTATGACAAAAACTTGTCTTTGTTGAAAAAATGCCACAAGCTCCAAGTATAGGCCATGGGGAAAAGTGGCCATGCCTAAGACCCCTGGCAGCCATCAACATGATGGTAAGGAATTTGGTAGAGGGTCACCAAAAAAACCTTTCTGTGAATTCCAGAGCTTACATTATATACACACTACATGTATATACACATATCTCACCTCATACAGAAATGACTTTGATTGGCCAAGAGCGGTCATATGAATGAATAAATAATTAAATTACTGCATCAATTACTAGTATATCATTTTTTGACAAACTATGAAAAAAATTAAACACAAATCATTCACATGAATATTTTTATACTGTTGTACACACTTTGCTAATACACTCATTTTAAAAGTATTTGGTGAGATATAATCGTTCCACTCTAAGTAGCTAGGGACTGGTATGGTATATACACCCCAATTGGTTTCATACCAGGCTTCAGCTTCCCTCTCGCATGTTAGAAAAACACAAGGGGTGCATATCCTAAATCAGTCCCAAGCAACTAACATTGTAACTAACAATACAAGGTCAAAAAGAAATGCAGGGTAAATAATAGGGCTGGGTATTAATCAGAAATTTCCGATACGATACGTATTGCGATACAGACCAACAATACACAATACGTATTGACGATACAGTACAATGATGCTTCATTGTTAGTATGCATTTATTAAAAGCACTATTTACATTTCATAGATGCCCTGGTGGAATATTATTGAATCTTTCTGATATCTGTTTTAGATTTTGACTTTGTTAATGATGCTATTATCATATAATATATAGCAGGTGCATAGGTACCTTAATTAGTACATTTGAAATACTATTTTGAAAATGACATGATGGCCCCCTTTTTAGATAAAACAATTATTTTGAAAAAAATTACAAAGCTTTGTAGAAATAATTCAATGCAAAAATAGAATTATTAGGAAAAGTTAATGCAGAAAATAATTAAAACATCACTATTCATTATGGCAGGAGTCTAGTATACTGTCTACAAGTCAACTGTTCTAAATTATAATATCTTTATTATAAAATCAAATTGTTGTAAATTTGAAATATATATGCTATATTAATGAAACATTGAAAATTTTCTAACAAATCATGTTACAATAAAAATAGAAATATCATGCAATGATGTTGTGGACTTCATTAGGTGTCGTAATCCGTAACGTACCGGGAAACGGTGTTTAGCTACGTCTTCCCGCAGTCACATTTTTAGTAAGCAAACTACATCTTGGAAAATCTATAAATTTGTTGGATTTATGTGTTCACAAATTATGTTTTTGATTAAATTACAAGTAACTGTTTGGTCTAATAAAAACTACTGCCGACCTGAAGGTATAATTTACCAGTGTTAGAAATAGGAGATTGAATGGCCGGATCAATTTTGTCACGGATTTATCCGTCATTTTGTGTATTGACATATTCGTTTTTCCACCTGAACTAGTCACTGCAGCCTTTCAAATATTGCTGAAGGCCTTCTTAACATTTACTTTAGAGAAAATTCCACACTTTTAACATTTGTGCGGACATTTTTAAGACGATAGTTTTAATGTAAAGTCATCATGTTTATAAGTTACACATTTTATTAGGTTGTCTCCCTTTGTATCGGTATAGCTAAAACCCGATAACCGTACCGTATTGAAAAACGGAAAATCGATAAATACCGATTTACCGGTATATTGATCCAGCCCTAGTAAATAATAAGACTGACCGCAAACATGATGTCTGTGCATCATAATGTCTCTTAAGGACAAGGCTATCTGCCAAGCCCATCATTGTACTTCTCACTGTGCAGCCACTTGAACCACTGATTATATTGTAGAACAACATGTTAGACAAAATCATACCAAAATTATTTGTTACAGGTTACTCAACCATATGCAAGCCCGATGTCATTACATTAAGTTGTAACTTACTGCTTAGTGTTCCACACACGTTGTAAGCATGGTTCGCTTACTGAAACTCCTATTTCCTATTGGTAAGTTACACTTTGATATTTAAAAGATAATAAAGATAAACACAAACAAATAAATTTATATTCAATAGTGTCATTCACTCTAAAAGGATCTTACCCTGCATTTTTTCCAACCTAGTTGGTTGTATATAACAAAAAGATGCCAAGCCCTCTTGTGGTCATGTTTTTACGAATCAACATGTGCCTATCAGGCTCTATGAAAACATTGTTACTAGGTTAAATATAAATTATCTATATAACATACCATAATTTGTTCCCTTTGTGGGAGAAGAAGAAGAGGAAGGAGCCATCTTGGGTTGAATATTTTGCATGTCTCCTTTCACCTTCTTCTTTGGTTATCAGTTCTCCCTCATAGAGGACTATAAGTCGGCCCTTTTCTATGTCGCTCAGTGCAAACACTCCTGAACCTAAAATAAAACAACACAGTATACATGTTTGACAGGAAATAATAAAGCAGGCCTTTTTGTCTGTTCCCAACGCCAAAAATTATATATATTTTGCCCAATTTGAATGAAAAATTCGCTAAAAATTCTAAATAAAAGTTTTTCAGAACCAGACAATAAAATTTATAACAAAGTTAAAAGCTTTTCTAGCTTAAAGGCATTAAACTACTGCCAAATCAAGCATACTAATGAGAAAGTTACACGCTAAAATTCCCAATTCCAGCTCAAAAAAGGTACATGTATAATTATTTTCCCCTAAAAGCTAATATTTTCCCCTGAAATACCCTTTGCACTTCTTTACCAGAACCATGACTCAACAGCATCTGACGAATTATATCAGCTAGAAGGCAGAAAACTGTCCCTATAGCCTCTGCTTTGTACCATGCATGTTATTTTGAATTGAAATTGAAAATTTTATAAAATGCATTCTCAGTTGTTGGAATTTGATTTTTCCCTTTTCTGATTTATCGAGAAATACTTTCCCCTTCAGGAAACCACAGGTTGTTTTGAAAATTGGGGGAAAAAATCACTGGTTTCAAGCAAAATATTTGAGCTCTAGTTCTTTGGTTTTTTTTTTAAAAAGTGGGGTAGCCAATTTTGACCCCATGGCTTTTATTTGAACAAACTTGGTAGACACTGACTAAATGCTATTTCATGCTTAAAATCTAAGCTCTAGCTATTTGAGTTTTTCACAAGAAGTTTTTTCAAGTTTTGACTATATACAAATAAAGAAAATCAATGACCCCGTTGCAGGACCAATTTTGATCCCAGGGTTTTATTTGAACAAACTTGGTAGACACCTACTAGTAAGGGTGTAACGGTTTACCGGTATACCGATATATTGCAATATGAAAAAATAAATTTCGAACCGCGGTACGATTTTTGGAAAACCGGTATTTTATAAAAATCATCATTTTCAATTAATTGCCTTCTAATTTTGTACAAATTTCACATAAAATCTTTAATTGGCAAATTTTGTTGGCGCCAACGTAAGATAAAAGTATCCGACAACTAGTACACTTAAAAGTCAATAAGCGGCCGCATAATTTACATAAGCGGCCCATATGTGAAAGGTCACACACGACTAGTTTTGTTTATCAAATTGTGTGACACTACTTTCTATTTATTCCTTACATTTTTGTTAAGTTTCTACTAAAAATATATACATATAATAATAATATATAAATGTTACTCCATCTTTACATCAAAACATATACACGACAATACGTATTGCAATATATTGCAATACGCTTCAGCAAAATGGCAATATATTGCAATACGGTTTTTGCTGTATTGTTACACCCCTACCTACTAGACCATGTCCATGCCAAATATCTAAGCTCTAGCTTTTTCGATTAAAAGAAGATTTTTTAAGTTTTTTCTTTTGGTTACCATGGCAACCAGAGTCTTGCATGGAATCTAATTCTTTGAACAATTTTTAAAGGTGACAACCAAAGGAACATTCCTGTGAAGTTTGAATGAATTAGTTCAGCGGTTTATGAGGATTTGTCGTTTAAAGTAAATGTTTATGGACGGACCATGGGACTGAATAAGAATAGTCTTTATAGTCTTGCGCTTTTTTAAGTTGTTGCAATACAATTACAATGAACATTTTGACACTTTCTTTGCTCTCAAAATACCTTGACTGATGTGATGTGGTGTACACAATAAACGTTAATGGTAATATTTCCCAGCATGTTAAATGCAAAATAATAAGTCTGTGCTTAAAACGTACTTTCAAATTCAATATAAACAAAATTTAGCTTCTTGACAGTTCTTGTCTGTTATTAGGCAAAACCCAGAAAATGATAAGTTTAAAAATCATACCAATATAGCTATTTATATATTTGACCTGCAGCATTCCCTCCTCTGCACAGCTTAAGTCTTCTTTTTTTTTACCTCTTCTACTTCTACTTCTAGTCCTCATGATCTATGAAAGTAAAAGAAAGTATAAACTATTGACAGGGTGAGGGTTTAATCTTCTTTAAATCATTAAGCCCTCTGACCGTGCAGCGTTTTTTTCTCTACTTTTGGAATGGTGCCTGTACCAGACTGATTGGGAAAAAATGTGTTATTTTGACTTATATTGGGAATATTTTTTAATGCATTTTTTCATCTATAAATAAGATTAATCGTCATGAATAAAGATAGCTAACAGCTTCCACTGTCAAGGTAGAACTATGAAGTAGTGATTTATATGAATATGTTGGATTTAAATGATTTCAGATGAATTTCTTGGCCATGTGGCAATTTTGAACAGCCATTTTGGGAATTTAAACATTGGAAATTGGGTATTTTAATGTTTATTTTCTATTGGGAACAGTACCGTTTTAGGGTAGTAGTGTATACGGCGCACATAAGCCGGTATTTGAAAGACAGCGTAGTCATAAGCCAGTATTTAATTATTTTCATTAATTTATCACGAGGAAGCTTCAATAAATTTCAAACCTTTGTCAGATGATCAAATAAATCATATTTCTATGCTTTTTTCCCCACCAGAATTGGAAATGTAAAATTCAATGACAACCATTAGCAGCCACCTTCTGGTTTACTATGTCCGATAATATTGGCATTGAAATGTTTATTATTCAGGGGTTTTATTCCTTCTATAACAGGGGCATTTTTTTTCACAAAGCGGTAGAAAAAAATCACAATTTCAAGTGAGATTTCACAAAATATTGCAACTTTGTCTTAGAAATACATTGTTTACCTTCCGGTGAAACTTGATTTACACCAATTTCAAGATAACACAGAAATAGTTTTTATCAAGTTAAATGGTTTTTGCGCATATTAACTGAGGTTAATGTACCAACTTGAAGAGGATTTTACACCAGAAATTATAATCAACTGTTTCAGTTGTCGAAATGTTGCGAAATGCTAAGTAATATGTCATGTGTTTTTCTTCACAATTTTATGGCACATCGAGTTTTTTTCCCACAAAATGAACAGGCCAAGGCCACTTCACAATTTTGACAAAAAATGCCGTTATTTTTCTACAGTACCTGCTGATGTTCTTTGGTTAATATCAACACTCAAATTCAACCAAACAATTAATTCAACTGAAGCAGTAATGATTTAGATCCCAGTATATTTAGTTTTATTTTTTCAATTCTGCAATCAGTGTGCATTAAGTATACAACATTTAAACACTAAAAATAATGATCTGGTCACTCTGGATGTCCCAGCTAGTTCTGGTACTGCTAATGACTTGTGCTGTGGTATTTTTAGTGTTGCCACATACCTTTCTCATTCTCTCAAAGATTTATTTTAAGGGTACCAAAGTTACCAAGTAGAGCATCAAATTGGCAAAACTGAAAGGTCATGGTGTGTTTTGAAGATTATTTTAGACTCATATGTACAGCTTGGAACATGTACGATGATTGAGTTATACCAATTTGTTATAACTCTACTGTGCAATGCTTATAGCTAATTATGAATCACTTTTACATGTTTGTCTGATTCCTGCATCCATTTTTGCTTATCAAATTGAAGCTAATGCATCGCATTTTAAGTCTTAAATCATTAGAATCAGTCTACTAAATTGTTATGCGCATGCTCCGCCTCAGAATATAACTGAACTTAAATGAAAAATAAACATCTAAGTGAACAAATCGGTACAAGGAAAAATTGCAAAATATCATTTACGTTACTTAACACTACGTCAGCAATGTAGTGTTCTGCAGTGAAAATATAGATATTATTGTGAAATTATTGATATTATAAATATATTTATTTAGTATGGTTCATTCCGTTTTTAATCCTTTTAAAGTTTTAACTGTATAAATTGATAATTGTTTTCTGCATAGCGCTTTACTGAAAATAATAACAATTGTGAACAATATCACCATGCACTATTATATGACCGAGTAAACGGTGTACCAAAAATTTGCTGTTCCTTTCACTTTTGAACTGGTACGACTAAATAAAGCAACGAAATTTTTTTAGCACAACTGGCGAAAATGGCACAACTTTTTCTCAAGTTTGATTTTCTTGCCATTATTTTTTGTGGATGGAGGCATGCAGTAGTATATATTGTTTATAACGATCAAATGATATATACATTATTAAAGCCCCGGTCACATATTCACGGATAATGCCACGGAAGAGCTACGGTCTAATCGTTCACGGATTACTACGGAAATGTGAAATTCCGTAGTCCGCTACGGTTCCAGTACGGACACACAGCGGTATAAGTACGGAGTCCGACGGATTTACCACCAAAATCCCCCGGAGAGACACGGATTGTTACGGACCGACACGGTTTGATGCGGAGCAACACGAATTAGGACGGACGCACTACGGATACACTACGGTCTGCTACGGTATAAGCACGGGTTAGTACGAATAAGTACGGTCTGATACGGAGAAGAACGAATTGATACAGAGAAGAACGAATTGCCACGGATCTATACGGACCTAATACATCCGTCCACAATCTCTTGCATAAATGCCCCACAAGAAAAGAACACCTGGAAAACGAATTGCAGAGTTTAATGATTTCGGCAGAGAGGATTCGGCCTGATCGCGTCTGACCCCCGAGACACATCAGGTCCGATAAAAGTGAATTTCTTGAAGGACGCTGGGTCCTCAACAAGTTCGGCCATGAGAGCCTCATACTTAACATGAAGGGGTCTTCGTAAAAGCCCATCTCAAGTCCACCATCTTGCCTGTCCTCTCTTACCTGATTAGATAAGGACTAGTTATCATTAAAAAAAGTGTTGATCAAAACTGCTTCTCTTTTAATTTTAAAATGTGCCGTTTTTTTACAATAATATTTATTATCGTGAATGTTTATGTTTTAAAAATATGTAAAAAGCTTGTTAATTAATCTTCTTATAACTCAAGGGTCAGTGTCCAAGACTTATGAGACACTTCGTTTTATGTACATATTTACTCAAATTTCACGATCCAATGTTTGTAAAATTAAATGATATTACTCTATTACTTAAGAATTGTAGTACGATATTAATATATTTTACCTCTATCCATGTCATCTAGCAGCTCGACCACTGCCTGCGCATTCTGAGCCATTTCAATATAAAATTGCAGCCAGTAAATGGCAATTATCATTTATTGAATGTTCCTGCAAATATGTCTGTTTTTAACAAGAAGGTAGTACGCTTGGAAAGTACATGATACTTAATTCATCCGTTCTAAAAAGTGGTGGACCGTACAAGTCCGTGTTGCAACGCAATAAACCGTATAAGACCGTGTTAATCCCTGCTTCTCCGTAGTACAACGTATTACGATCGTGGCTTTCCGTATTAATCCGTATTAAAACCGTAGCTTAAACGTAGGGCCCTCTTAATACAAAAAGGCTAAATGAATGCTCATCTGTCATGGAACTCATGTTGAATCAAGGCATCATAAAATTACAAATCAAACATTAATATCACTTTAGAAAAACTTTTTGTGTTTAATTTTAGCAATTAAAAATAGTTTTAATTTCTGGCGATTATCATTTGTTTGACAACATACAAATGGAAAACATAATATGAATTAAAAATAAATGTATAAAATAAATAAATGAATGAATCAAATCTGTGCGAGTTACAGATAAAATCATCATTAATTCATTTTAAATATCATAAAAACAATGTTCAAGTTTGTTCGTGACATAATTTCATAGTTTAGTACATTATGCTCTTTTAATATTATTTTTCGAATATTTTATTAATTTCATACTAATATAGCGCATAATTGTGTCCAGATTGTGGACATCAGACGAATGGGTCACGTACGGACATGCCGTAATTACATGCAGTGGGGACGATATTTTGTTTACCCGTATGTTTGCAACATGTGCTTGTAAACAAACTTTGCAAGAATTAAATAAAATAAAATTAACTTATAAATGCGAACACAGCTAAACAGTCTTTTCCGATGCTTCAAGAAGTCTATGTAAAATTAGTTAAAACTGTTAATTTAAACAATTTTAAAAGTGTTGTTACAAATTCTTGTCGTATTTAGAGAGCTTATAAGAAACTGAATTTGTTTCCGTATTAAAAAAAAAAAACCTTTTTGGGTGTCGAAATTAGCCGAAAAGTGTAGAATATAACCTACGCGCAGTAATATGATACCTGTTGTTAAGGTACGATTACTGACGACAATTAACATAGACTTAAATGCAAAATAACTCTACTGTTGTCATTTAATCATTTGATTTGAGAGCAATGCGGGTAACTTCGACACTCAATCCGGTTATTGAATTTTTATGCTTAGTGGAATTTAGCCGCTTTTGCTCTAGATCTTCTTTAAACACACACACAAATTAAAGAAGAGTACTTACCATCGACCAATACAGTAAATGTAAAAAAATAAAAAATTCTTAATTGAACCCCGTGTCGCGCCTCAAACTTACATAGCGTGTGCGTGACATCATTCCCCGTAATACGTAATGTTGACAAATTGACTTCAAATGGTTCACAGGTAATTTTTGTTTGCGTAAATACTTACCAGGCAATTTGGTTGCATTGAATAAAACTCAGATACAATCGTTTAAGGATAGGATGATCGTTATTTTGAAAATCGCGATCGGTATAATGCTTTATACGAGTGTCCGAATAATTAGGCACTGTCCGGAATTTGGCACTCGCCCAGTAGGCCTTACAAAACAACCATTACAATATTAAAACAACTGTTTTTTAAAATTAGTAAAATCACTACATACATGAGAACCAAATCTGACGCATCAAATCCAATCCACAAAATTTTGTCAAACATCTCTATTCTTACAATAAATAAAAAATTATAATCTTCACTAGTTATATCAGTATCACTTCTACTAAAACTGCTGATGAAAAATTCCTTTATCTTCCAGCACCAAGTGTACGATTTCGAGACGTTTCGGCCCCAAGACGTATCGGCCCCAAACTACCCAAGACGTTTCGGCCCCGGACGTTTCGGCCCTTTACCAAATCGGCCCCAGAATATGTACTGTATTTTAAACCGATATATTAATAGCATTTAAATGATTAAATGAATCAATTAATATATATATTTAATCATTTTGTATAAAAACTAGATTATAATAGTAGTAGGAGAAAAGTAATCAATACAAACAGAACAGAACATAAACTTTATTTGAAAAAATATAATACACAAACAAACAATTATTTACAACATATATAGATAATATTTTATTAATACAAACAGAACAGAACATAAACTTTATTTGAAAAAATATAATACACAAACAAACAATTAACAAACAGTTAAACAATTTTACTTGAAACGAAACAAATGTGGACAGACACTTTTTTATAAATAACAGTTTTGCAATTTTACAATTAAACAACTTTACTTAGTCTTAGTCTGTAGTATAGTGTCTATAGCTTTCCTTATTCCAACAATTATACGCACGGGAAACACTTTATTTTCGAATGTTATAACTTATCTATAGCAGTTACATAGCATTTATAATTTGGTTTCAGTTTTTCAATCAGTTTTATAACATCTAGCATCTATCATTATCTAATAGCAATAATAATTAAAAATATTATCATGAGATTATAGCAAACCGTTTTTTCATATCTTTTGAAGTTTTCTCTGATATTACTTACCACCAATTAGCATAAAGCTATAAACAGTTAATTAGTTACACCTTGAAAAAATTACGTATAGTTTAATTAAGATCAAAAGACAATGTTTTCTAAGTAATAATTGTAATTAACTTTCTTAATCCAGAAGTTTTAGTGGTTTGTTTTATAAATTAAGTAACCTGCCTTTATTGTTTGTTACACCTTTAAAATCACATTAACGTACATCTAAATGGTTCAAGAGATCAAAAGATAATAAATAATTATTTAAAGAATTAAAGTGTCATAATTGTTTAATTGTTATTAAATTATTGTTGTTAATCAATCAAGCAATATACTATAGTGGGGCCGAAACGTCTCGCGGAAAAGGGCCGAAACGTCCAGGGGCCGATTTTTCTACTGGGGCCGATTTGGTTTGGGGCCGAAACGTCCTGTTTCCAAGTGTACAACGGTCCAGGTGGAGGGATAAGGAAAGTAAACAAGATAACCGTTGTCGTATTTGTGTACACAGCTTTTCAATTTTTCATCTTCGTTTAAAAATTTAAAAATTAAACGAACATGTCTTTTTCTTATTACAAAAACAGAGAATCCTCCGAAACAATCACAATGACAGTATTCACGTTTCATCATAATTACATGCAAGGACATTGCCTCATTTTAGAATCATAAATTCTACATACGCGTTTTAACGACGAAAATTTGGCGTATATAGGAACAAATTTTGTCCACTTACCCTTAAAATGTTCTAATATCATACGATTCGCGCCTCCTCAACACGTTACAAGCCACTTCCTAACGACTGGTTACCAGGGGTCGATTGAGATACTGCGAAAGTCTGGGAACCAAACTATTGTGTAAACCGCGACACCGGAAATCAGACTAGTACTGTAGATTTACATCAAAGGGAGATAACAGCGACAGACCGTACTCGGGATTTGAGAACGTTATTCTAACTGATTAAAAGCGGTTTCCATGCTATGAGGTGTCCAAAAAATCACTACCTGGTATTTCGGATCGTACGATGTTCCAAAATCCCAAAGTACGTTCCAACATGCAAGGTGAAAAAACAACTAATTGTTCCAAAAAACCAGGTGATAGGAGAGTATATATATATATATATATATATATATATGCATGTATATATATATATGTTTAGTATATTTTTTTATGCAAGCGGGTGTTTTCTACTGTGGCGACATTATTAGGTAAGATTTCAATATGTCGTCCTTATTGTATATTCATTAGGACCGTTATTCTTAATATTAATCATCTTATATTTGAAATCATTATTCGTTTTATATATATTTAGGGTTTCATTCAAACATGTACTTTATCGCTCTTATTGTATGATATTGAGTTTTATAAAGTCAAGCTACCACTAGATTTTATATATCTATTGAATCATGCAAACAACTTTTGAATACTATATTAATGTCATACTATAAAGTGCTATGTTTTTCTATTCTTTTTTATTTCGGGCTCCAAGAATCAGAGTGACCCCATTTCTACTCCCCGCCGAAAAGATCAGTATTGGTCGGGGAACCATCCCATACTGACCTTACAAATTCTCTTGTTTAGATACATAATTACATATATACATAAAGTAAAATAATATACATGTTCATAGCTGACAAGAGTTCATGATTTAACAAAGAGTGGGCTTTGGTCTTACCCTAATCAATGGCACCTTTTTTGGATGAAAAAATTGAGCACAAAAAAAAAATATGATTGTGATTGGCAGTATTTTCTGTTCTTATCAAATTGACAGTGACATTATTGTTGTAAAATATAATCACTTAGTACAGCAATTCGTTTTGTTAATTATGGCATCATTAAAAACACCTTTAATGTAGTTTTATGATTTTCTATGTCGTTTCCTTTTTATATAATGTATTTTGTCTTTCTAAAATAGTGGATCTATTTTTAGTTTCACTGTATCATATAATGAAGCTCGTGATTTCTTTAAGACACGCCTTTCGGTCACAGTCAAATAACTTTTCATGTGAATTATAATGTTCTAGAAAAACTTCTTTTTTCCATCCAAGATGTCGCATGAAAACAGAAATACCATACATGCATGTTGCTCTTTTTTTGCAGTTGTACGCTCAAGTAAAAACTGTTGCTAAATTAAAATAAAGCATAACAACATAATAGATCTCAATATGTAAATAATAATTCTCTTTTCTATGATCTTTTTATTTTCATTTTTTCGTATAACCATTCCACTAGCCTACATATTGAGTCGTGGGTTCTACCGACGGGACATAAAATAACACATGAGGTCTTTCTCCGCTTAGAATCTTGTAAAATCGTCAGATGAGCTCAAAAGTGTTGTTGTAGTTAGCTCTACAAAGTTCATTGTTTAATCAAATGCTATGACTACTAGAATTTCATTATTTTAATGTTTTTTTTTAAGAAAGAGTTAAAGAAACAGATAAATTAATCGTGTTGTAGATATTTTGGCGTTTGATTACTTGTACCAGTCCGTAAAACGTCATGTCCTTTCAGGGATCATACTGAGGGAAAAATGCTGATAAAATATTGAATGGACATTCACAAAACCTTTAAGATGTTTAACAATATACACTTGTCACAAAGTGAAAGTACGTTTGTAAATCTTGCATTATATTTTCACGCCGAACCTCATTTTTACTCTATATTCATTGATGTGAGATTGCATCATCTTTTGTTCAATTTAGAGTTTTCGGGTGAAATTATTATTTAGAGTATTTTTATGGTTTGCATAAATTTCCATGTCTCAATTTAAACATTTTGCCGTTTATTTCACAAAAATCCTTTCAGTAATAAGAAAGTTACATTTCTGTTTTATGAACCAGATATATGTATTATGTCTGTATTTGAAGGACGGGCCTTTATTTCACATAACTATTTTTCCCGCCGTCCCAGCTTTATTTCGTGCAAATCGATTTTTCATGTTTTGCACGATTTGTTTTCCCGCTCAGTACTCAGTAGTTTGCTATATATGGACTAAATTTTAAGTGACATATTGCAATGCACTGGACGTTATACAGGTCACTATGACGGTGACAGACAAATTATATTTGTCATAAAATTACAGCTTGTACAAGGTAAATTTAATTTTCTAGTGATTTTGTTTCATAAATTTTTGCTATTTCGTAAAATACTATTTTCTATTAGAATTATAGTTTATTTGATTCAGGTTTAGTTATTTGGCAGTAATTTATTGTTTTCTAAATTTTCTAAATTTTTGCAGATTAAATTTTAAAAGCTCTTTTTATTCTAGTGTTTCGCTATTGCAAATTTATACCGAGACATGTTAATTGACGTATGTTAATTGAAGTTTTAATTATATTGTAATTGTATAGGAGCCATGAATATTTTATAGATATATATATCTATTCATAAATAATTTGTTATGGTTCTACCGTATTTGTGTAACTTTATGTAAAATGCTGCAGTATCGTAATGATTTGTTTCAATCAATTTAATTTTCGTTATCATCTTACTTCATTTCATTTATCATCAGTTTTTTGTTATAAGTAAATACAACGTATCAAAACTAACGTATCTCTAGAGAAGGATCTTCAGTGGCATGATTTTGGAAGACGTTTATTTATTGGTGGTTATTATGTGGCGTATATTTGAATATATTTGCAACGCAGTATTATGCGGATGTGATTGAATTTTTGTTCCACGGAATGTATGGTGTACTATAGTGGACATTTTGTTTATTCAAAGAAGCACGTTATTTTATTGGAAACCGACAAAGGTCGATTCTTTTCCAAGGGACTTTATTATACCCTTATGTTTGATTATCATGGAACTTACCATGTTTTATACTTTGTAGCTTCTTATTTGAGGACACCCCGAAGATGACACGGGCCCTCCACACGTATGTCCATGGCTAAAGGGTGACGCATGCCCTTGTTCAGGATCCTATCAACTGTGCCAACACTGTAGGAAGTACAGTTACGCTTGATAAGATTTTATACAAGACGCCCGCCATTGTGACGAATTTTGTTTAACAACGCCACCACTTTATTGATACATAATGACAGAGACTTTACGGGAGAAATAGACTGAGATACGTTGATAGTGTTTGTTGTGCAGTGACTTATCATAGTAGTTTATCATATACAATCATTTTTCATTTATAAATATTCATTTTTGTAAATAAATTTGTATATATTTTTCCGTACTGAGTTGTTGGTGGTTTTAGATAGCAATTGTGGTCGGCCTGGTATCCCAGCGTAGTCCCTATTGTGACATTTGGTGACCTCGACGTGATTGGATACCGGTTGACTATAGTTGTTATTTGAAACAAACCACACTCACTTTACTGCAGCTAGGTTATATAGCTAACACTAGAAACTTTGGTTTTTATTTTAAGTAAAAGTTTTATTTACAATTAAAAGTTAAATTTAGTTTACTTAAAGGTAGTTAAATTGTGTATCACTTTTAATTTTTTTTTATATTTAGTGTGATTATAATTTCTTATCATTTTCAGATTGATACCGTGACAAATGAAACGGACTTGTGTGTGTGACAGCTATCTAGCTGAGAGGTTATAACAGCCACACAGACCCGACAGTGGACGTTTAGGGTGAGTTCGTTCCATTTTCCTCCTTTTAGGTGTCACTTTATGATGAGACCACCAGTTTTGTAATCTGAAAGTGACCTTTCGGTAAAACACCGGAAGTACACATATATACACACATACACTCTGCAATGTAAGGTACTACCCGCCTTGTGTACTTTTTCTAGATAAGAAACTGTGTCTGTTATCTAGGTGAACATTTAATTTATTGTGTCATTTACAATTTTACTTTGTGTTTACTTTGTGTCTGTAGTATATTGAAACTGGCCATATACCTTATATTTTTGCACTGTGGGGTAAAAGTGCAACGCGACATTGAGTTTTGGGTCGTAGTTTGGACTTTGAAGTTTAAAGTATTTTGAACAGTTTAATTATTGCCTACTGTCTACTGTACACTTAAGATTATTATTATACAACCTTAGTGAGATACTTAGATGAGTTTGAAACTTAGTGTTTGTAGTGGTGAGGTATAGTGTTTAGAATATATGATACATTGTTTATTTTAGTACTGTGTACAGTGAAGGTACATTTTGATTATAGCGCTAGAGTGATAAATGCGTTTAATTATATGGTGTTACACTGAAGTGTAGTGTTATAGTGCACCGTGATTGCACTTAGTGAATATAGCGTTTTGTGTTTAAGGGTTGTAGTGTTACCCTTTAATGATACTTTGATATCATTGTTCTACCTCACATTTAGATTTTACTTGTATCCTAAGTTGTTGTTGTTGTAGTGTTACAGTGTAGGAAATATACATAATAAGTTCAAGATGACTAGTGTAAATGAGTTGATGAAGGTAGGTCAAGAGTTAGGGTATACAGATGAGGCTTTGAGAAACTTTGTTAAAGAGGAGCAAGCAAGGGAGCGTGAAGAAAGACATAGTAGGTTAGAAGCTGAGAAGGAACGTTTTGAAGCTGAGAAGGAACGTTTTGAAGCTGAGAAGGAACGTTTAGAAGCTGAGAAGGATAGGTTAGAATTAGAAGCTAGATTAGCAAAAGAGAAGTTAAGTAATGAGAAAGAGAAGTTAGATTATGAGTTTAAGATTTCTAGGGAGAAGTTAGATTATGCTCGTCAGTTAGAAAGAGAGAAGGAGGAAGCCGAAACTAGGAAGTTAGAAATAGTGATAGAAATGGAAAAAGAGAAGTTAAGTAATGAGGCTAGGGTTGCAAAGGAGAAGTTAGAAATAGCTCGTCAGTTAGAAAGAGAGAAGGAGGAAGCAGAAGCTAGGAAGTTAGATACAGAATATAAGATGAAGATAGAGTTAGATATGTTAGGTAAGAAGAGTGTAGGTAAGGTTAAGGTTAAGATGACTCCATTTGACGAAAAGATTGATTCTATGGATGCGTATTTGAATGTTTATGAAACTTATGCGTCTGCTCATAATTGGGAACATGAAATGTGGTCACTAAACTTACCGTTTCTGTTAAAAGGTACTGCTAGGGAGGTATTTGATAGACTTCCATTAGAAGATAGGACGGATTATGATAAGCTGAAAGATGCTTTGTTAAGGCAGTTTGAGTTGACTGATGATGGTTATAAGAAGAAGTTTAGGACTGAAAGGCCCCGTGAAAATGAGACTTTTGTTATGTTCCTAGCTAGAATTTCTAGATACTTAGATGGTTGGCTAAGATTGAGTAAGGTGGAGAAGACTTATGAAAAGTTGTTAGACTTCATAGTAAGGGATCAATTTTTAGATATCTGCAATAGAGAACTATATCAGAACCTTAGTAGTAAGAAGTTGTTTTCAGCCCGTGAAGTAGCGGAAGATGCAGATTTGTTTGCCAAGACTAGAGGAGGTCCGAAGTATGTAGTGAATCATGGAATTAAAGAAAGAGCTAAGCCTTATGCACTGCCGAGTAGACCTGTAGATAGAAATCAAAGTAGTAGTTATCGTATGCAAAGAGGTAACGATAGACTGGTAAATAGAGGTAGAGCATCTCAGCAGTATGAAGGTTATAAATGCACATCTTGTGGTCGTTTAGGGCATACAGCATTTTTCTGTAGAAATAAGGCTACAAATAAAGCTAACGCAGCGGAAAACATAGAACCGAACTCAATGAATCCAAGTAAGAATGATAGTTATCAGGGTAATAGAAGGCGAGGAGGTTATAGAGGTAGGAGTAGAGGTAGAGGAAGAAATAGAGATGCAGATTCGAAAATTTCGATGCCGAGATCGGATAGTGGTAGTAGTTTGATAGAACTTGGGGATTTTGAAGACGTGGGCACAGTTACTATAAATTCATGTCCGACAACTAGAGGTATATGTAATGGTAAATCTATAGTTGCAATGAGAGATACTGGGTGTACATGTGTCATAGTACGAAGGAATTTGGTAAATGCAAATCAATTGTTAGGGAAGTCCAGACGATGTAAGTACATTGATGGTAGTGAGCACAGATTAGACATGGCGTTAATTGATCTTGATTGTCCGTATTACAGGGGTACTGTAGAAGCACTATGTGTAGATAATCCTACAAATGATGTAATTATCGGTAACATAGAGGGTGCTGTAGAACCAAATTTTGGTAAGTTAGCTTCAGCAGTAGAAACAAGATCGCAGAGTAAAGTTAAAGCTCATAGAAGACTTAAAGTTCCTTCACAGATTTTAGACATCACTAATGTAGAGTTTGTAGAGAAGCAGCAGGCAGATAGTACATTAGATGGATGTAGAAAGTACATGTAAGATAGCACAGCAGGAGTTAGAGAAAAGCAGTATTAGGTATAGAAAGTATTACAACAGGAAAGCTAGAGATAGAACTTTTAAGAAGGGAAGTAAAGTACTGGTTCTTATACCTACAAAACGCAATAAGTTGTTGTTACAATGGAAAGGTCCATTTGTAGTTTCCGAGGTCGTGAACAAATTAGATTATCGGATAGACATAGGTAACAATAAGATCAAAACTTTCCATGCCAATATGCTGAAGGAGTATGTTGAAAGAAATTTCGAACCAGAACGAGGTGCATTGGCAAAGGTAAGTGCAGCTGTTGTAGAAGCGGAAAATGGGTATGATAGATTAGAGGAAGATGATAGTTTAGAAACAAGTTACCAAGATAATAGTGACATATTGTTATGTCCATTGAAGAAAGGTTCAGAGACATATAAAAGATGTTCAGGTCAATCCTGACTTACAAACAGATTGTAAGACTCAGATTGCAACCTTGTTAAAGAAATTTTCAGATGTTTTAACAGATATACCCGGAAATACGTCATTAGTTCAGCATGACATTAAGTTGACTACGTCAGAACCGGTAAGGACTAAGGGTTATCCTATTCCTTTTCACTCACAGCAGATAGTAAAGGAAGAAGTTGATAAAATGCTAGAGTTGGGAGTTATCGAACCTTCTAATGCTCCGTTTTCTAGTCCAATTGTCCTTATCAGGAAAAAGGATAACACGATTAGGTTCTGTATTGATTTTAGACAGATCAATAAATGCACGGTATTTGATGCGGAACCGATGCCCAATATGGAACAGATATTTTCGAAATTATCAAAATACAGGTATTTTTCGAAAATTGACCTTAGTAAAGGATACTGGCAAGTTCCTTTGTCTGACAATGCAAAACCTTTGACCGCATTTGAAACCCCGTCGGGACTTTTTCAATTCCGGAAAATGCCCTTTGGTTTAGTCAATGCCCCTGCAACATTCTGTAGACTGATGAGAAAGGTTTTGAAAGATCTAGATCACTCAGATAGTTTTATAGATGATATTTTGGTCTATACAGTCACATTGCCAGAACATATCAATGCATTGTTTGAGTTATTTACCCAATTAAGAGAGTCTAGGCTTACTGCTAGACCGTCCAAGTGTTTCATATGTTTTGAAAAATTGGAATGTTTAGGTCATATGATAGGAGGTAGTAAGTCCATTGAACCTGTTCTCAGTAAGGTCAAGGCAATTCAGGAGACCGAGAGACCCACGACTAAGCGAGGAGTCCGGCAATTTTTAGGGGTTGTGTCTTGGTACCGGAAGTTCATCCCTAACTTTGCCGCCATTGCTGTTCCGTTGACCGATTTGACAAAAAAGTTTCAACCAAATCGTATTGAATGGGGTGAAAGTCAGGAAAAGGCTTTTCAGACTCTTAAGGCTAGTTTGACCGGTCCGCCCATTTTAAAATTACCAGATTTAGACAAGATATTTATTCTCAGAGTTGATGCTTCTGATTGTGGATTAGGATCTGTATTACTTCAAGAACAAGGTGAGGAGAAATTTCCAGTAGCTTATGCCAGTAGAAAGATGTTACCAAGAGAACAGAAGTATTCTGTAATAGAGAAGGAGTGCCTTGGTATTGTTTGGGCAATTTCTAAATTTCACAGATACTTGTTTGGTAAGGAATTTATTCTAGAAACAGATCACCAGCCGCTTTTGTACAAGGCAAAGTTAAGTAACTCTAGAATAATGAGATGGTCTTTGCTTTTGCAGCCATACAGGATGAAGATTAGAGCAATCCCAGGTAAAGAAAACATAGGTGCAGATTATTTAAGCAGGTTATAATGTAGAGTGTAGTGTAGTATTTATGGTGGTTATGAATATGGTGTACAGTATTTCTACTTACATTTTTGCAATTTGTCGTTTTCACTTTGTTGTATTTAAAGAAAATTTATCAATTTTCTTATTTAAAGGGGGGCGTAAGTGTCACAAAGTGAAAGTACGTTTGTAAATCTTGCATTATATTTTCACGCCGAACCTCATTTTTACTCTATATTCATTGATGTGAGATTGCATCATCTTTTGTTCAATTTAGAGTTTTCGGGTGAAATTATTATTTAGAGTATTTTTATGGTTTGCATAAATTTCCATGTCTCAATTTAAACATTTTGCCGTTTATTTCACAAAAATCCTTTCAGTAATAAGAAAGTTACATTTTTGTTTTATGAACCAGATATATGTATTATGTCTGTATTTGAAGGACGGGCCTTTATTTTACATAACTATTTTTCCCGCCGTCCCAGCTTTATTTCGTGCAAATCGATTTTTCATGTTTTGCACGATCTGTTTTCCCGCTCAGTACTCAGTAGTTTGCTATATATGGACTAAATTTTAAGTGACATATTGCAATGCACTGGACGTTATACAGGTCACTATGACGGCGACAGACAAATTATATTTGTCATAAAAATTACAGCTTGTACAAGGTAAATTTAATTTTCTAGTGATTTTGTTTCATAAATTTTTGCTATTTCGTAAAATACTATTTTCTATTAGAATTATAGTTTATTTGATTCAGGTTTAGTTATTTGGCAGTAATTTATTGTTTTCTAAATTTCTAAATTTTTGCAGATTAAATTTTAAAAGCTCTTTTTATTCTAGTGTTTCGCTATTGCAAATTTATACCGAGACATGTTAATTGACGTATGTTAATTGAAGTTTTAATTATATTGTAATTGTATAGGAGCCATGACTATTTTATAGATATATATATCTATTCATAAATAATTTGTTATGGTTCTACCGTATTTGTGTAACTTTATGTAAAATGCTGCAGTATCGTAATGATTTGTTTCAATCAATTTAATTTTCGTTATCATCTTACTTCATTTCATTTATCATCAGTTTTTTGTTATAAGTAAATACAACGTATCAAAAACTAACGTATCTCTAGAGAAGGATCTTCAGTGGCATGATTTTGGAAGACGTTTATTTATTGGTGGTTATTATGTGGCGTATATTTGAATATATTTGCAAACGCAGTATTATGCGGATGTGATTGAATTTTTGTTCCACGGAATGTATGGTGTACTATAGTGGACATTTTGTTTATTCAAAGAAGCACGTTATTTTATTGGAAACCGACAAAGGTCGATTCTTTTCCAAGGGACTTTATTATACCCTTATGTTTGATTATCATGGAACTTACCATGTTTTATACTTTGTAGCTTCTTATTTGAGGACACCCCGAAGATGACACGGGCCCTCCACACGTATGTCCATGGCTAAAGGGTGACGCATGCCCTTGTTCAGGATCCTATCAACTGTGCCAACACTGTAAGAAGTACAGTTACGCTTGATAAGATTTTATACAAGACGCCCGCCATTGTGACGAATTTTGTTTAACAACGCCACCACTTTATTGATACATCATGACAGAAACTTTACGGGAGAAATAGACTGAGATACGTTGATAGTGTTTGTTGTGCAGTGACTTATCATAGTAGTTTATCATATACAATCATTTTTCATTTATAAATATTCATTTTGTAAATAAATTTGTATATATTTTTCCGTACTGAGTTGTTGGTGGTTTTAGATAGCAATTGTGGTCGGCCTGGTATCCCAGCGTAGTCCCTATTGTGACAACACTTACTATAGTTTTTACATGCAACGTGTACAGTACTTTACGATAATATATATTTATTCAAAGTGGTTTTGAAGTTAGGTTTCGATCTGCATTAAAGTGTTATTGCAGTATATATATCTTTATATTTCTCATTTGCAAAATTAAGACACAAAATCTTAAACACATAAAAACATCAAAACATAACCAAGTAAATTGGTTTTCACAACTATACATATTTGTTATACTCGTACTTAATTAATAAACAGATCTTTCACATACGATTGTGTTATACATGCTATATACTTTTGTATCAAGCATTTAGATGTGATTCAAATCAGTTGTAATAATTGTACTGTAGAAAAAGAAGTAGACACATTTAGGAGAGCAAAAGAACATAAATCAAGCATAAAATGTCTAGACATACATTTGAAGAAAACAAAAATATATACTGAAAGTGATACTTCATTTTAAATGAACACTGTTTTCATATTTTACACTTATCACAACATGACTGAAATGTTTGAAAGATTTATATATTTAAAACATAGACAATACTTCCTGGTTAATATTGCTGTTTTGGATTAAAACACAAATAAAACAAATATATATACAGTCGAAAAGGAAGTAATAAAAACAGTCATATATCTTCCAAAAGTCTTCCAAAATAATTAATATCGTTGTCTTTTTGTACAAGCCATATCTCATCTATTCGGTCTTATTTGTTTTTTTCCCTCCCAAACAGGAGTAAAGCATTTGCGGGAGGGACATGCGACTGGGTTGACGGTTAATGTGGAAAAGGAGACATTTGTTATTACCAGTTAGTTATCTGAAAAGCTAGCTCGGTACGTGGTTCTCTGTCCGAGATATGAGAAAATGTGTTATATTCGGCGTACCAACCGAACACACATTAAAACTTTTTAGCTCACCTGTCTCAAAGTGACAGGGTGAGCTTTTGTGATCGCTTTTCGTCTTTTGTTCAAAGAATTTAATTCCATGCAGAACTTTGGTTACCATGGCAACCAAAAGAAAATGTTTTAAATAACTTCTTTTAAAAACCCTAAGAGCTAGAGCTTAGATATTTGGCATGAAATATCTTCTAGTGAGTGTCTACCAAGTTTGTTAAAATAAAATCCCTAGGGTCAAAATTGGCCCCGCCCCAGGGGATCATTGATTTTCCCTATATGTATATAGTAAAAACTTAAAAAATCTCTTTTAAAGAACTCAAAGAGCTAGTGCTAAGATATTCAGCATGAAACATGTTCTAATGAGTGTCTACCAAGTTTGTTCAAATAAAAGCCCTTGGGTCAAAATTGGCCCCACCCCAGGGGGTCATTGATTTTCCCTATATGCATATAGTAAAAACTTAAAAAAATCTTCTTTTAAAGAACTCAAAGAGCTAGAGCTAAGATATTCAGCATGAAATATCTTCTAATGTGTGTCTACCAAGTTTGTACAAATAAAATCCCTTGGGTGAAAATTGGCCCCGCCCCAGGGGGTCATTGATTTTTCCTATATGCAAAGTAAAAACTTTAAAAAATCTTCTTTTAAAGAACTCAAAGAGCTAGAGTTTAGATATTAAACATGAAACATCTTCAAGTGAGTGTCTACAAAGTTTGTTCAAATAATAGCCCTGGGGTCAAAATTGGCCCCGCCCCAGGGGGGTCTTTGATTTTCCTTTTATGCATATAGTAAAAACTGAAAAAAAGTTCTTTTACATAACCCAAAGAGCTAGAGCTAAGATAATTAGCATGAAACATGTTCTAATGGGTGTTCAATGTGTACAATGTTCAAGGCACTGAAAGTTCAAAATTTTTCCAACATTCAGGAAAGATAAGTTTGTCTAAAATCATTGAACCATGACCAAATTCAAACTTAAACTGCTTATTCCTAAGATGTATCTATATTATTTTCAAAGTGAAAGGGACATAACTCTGCCAAAAAATCATCAAACCATGACCAAATTCCAACTTGACCTGTCCATTCCTTTGACATATCCATATGTCAAATTAAGTTGAATATGTAACACTGTTGGGTAGATAATGAACAGAAACTGTAAATTTCATATTATTTTCAAAGTGAAAGGGGCATTACTCTGCCAAAAATCATTGAACCAAGACCAAATTCGAACTTGGCCTGGGCATTCCAAAAACATATCCATATTTCAAATTTGAGTTGAATGTGTTGTACCATTGGGGAGATAATAAACGGAAACTGAAAATTTCATATTACTTTCAAAGTGAAAGGGGCATAACTCTGCCAAAAATCATTGAACCATGACAAAATTTGAACTTGACCTGCGCATTCCTTTGACGCATCAATATGTCACGTTTGAGTTGAATGTGTTGTACCTTGAGGGAGATAATGAACGGAAACTGAAAATTTCATATTATTTTCAAAGTACAAGGGGCATAACTCTGCCAAAAATCATCAAACCATGACCAAATTCGAACTTGACCTGTATTTTCTCATGACATATCCATATGTCAAGTTTGAGTTGAATGTGTTGTACCGTTGGGGAGATAATGAACCGAAACTGAAAATTTCATATTATTTTCAAAGTAAAAGGGGCATAACTCTGCCAAAAATCATCGAACCATGACCAAATTCAAACTTGACCTGTATTTTCTCATGACATATCCATATGTCAAGTTTGAGTTGAATGTGTTGTACCGTTGGGGAGATAATGAACCGAAACTGAAAATTTCATATTATTTTCAAAGTAAAAGGGGCATAACTCTGCCAAAAATCATCGAACCATGACCAAATTCAAACTTGACCTGTATTTTCTCATGACATATCCATATGTCAAGTTTGAGTTGAATGTGTTGTACCGTTGAGGAGATAATGAACGGAAACTGAAATTTCATATTATTTTCAAAGTAAAAGGGGCATAACTCTGCCAAAAATCATCGAACCATGACCAAATTCGAAGATAATGCACGGAAACTGATGATGACGGAATGACAGAAGGACGGAATGACGGAACAGGGTAACACTATATGCCCCGGCCATTACATGGCAGGGGCATAAAAACCCAAATAGCTAGAGTTAAGATATTAAGCATGAAACATCTTCTAGTAAGTGTCTACAAAGTTTGTTCAAATGAAAGCCCTGGGGTCAAAACTTGCCCTGCCCCAGGGGTGTCATTGTTTTTAACAATATGTGAGTAGTAAAAACTTAAAAATCTTCTTTTAAAAACCAAATGAGCTAGAGCTTA